ACAGCAGCCCCCCTCGGTGTCGAGTGACCCCCCCCCCAGCGCAGGCCGGCTCGCCCATACTCATGGACATTTTGGCCCCTAAAAATAGCACAGATGTTGTCAGCCATGTTTAGAAAACACTAAAGCTTGTGATCACAGACAGCGGCTGCCTTTGCTGCAAGGTAACTACAAGCTGCATTTCAGACAAAAGGGAAAGTCGCTTTACGCTGCTGAAATTCTATTAAGGCACATTGCAATCAGACCACCAAAGCAAACTGCAGCCTGGGACATTTTGGCCCCTAAAAATAGCACAGATGTTGTCAGCCATGTTTAGAAAACACTAAAGCTTGTGATCACAGACAGCGGCTGCCTTTGCTGCAAGGTAACTACAAGCTGCATTTCAGACAAAAGGGAAAGTCGCTTTACGCTGCTGAAATTCTATTAAGGCACATTGCAATCAGACCACCAAAGCAAACTGCAGCCTGGCACCTGCCCAACCCCTCACCCCCACCCTCAGAGTCTGCACCCTCAACCCCAGAACACACACTTCCCCCTACAGCCTAACCTAGTCCAGTGATTTGAGCACTAGCTTGTTAAATTGAGGGTTGTGAGCTCAATCCTTGAGGGTGCCATTTAGCATCTGGGGCAAATCTGTCAGGGCTGGTACTTGGTCTTGCCATGAGAGCAAGGGACTGGACTTTTGCCCCAAGGTCCCTTCCAGTTCTATGAGATAGGTATATCTCCATATATTATTATATTAACTCCTCATTTCTAGCATCGCTGCTCTTATACTTAGAAGCTGCAGTTTCTAGCTTTGCTTTTTCTGGTGTGTGTGTGTGCGTGTTGTTTTTGTAAGGTATGTGTGTTGCTTTGTGTATGTAACATGGGATTGGACTTTAGCAACTGCAAGGACCTGATGCTGTGTTCAGCCTACACTTGCACAGAAAGTGTTAATGAAAACTAAGATAGAAAGTAATTAACACAACCAGCCAGTCTTAGCTGGGATCAGGTGGCCAATTAATCCTCTGACTGAAAGAGGGGGCCCAGCTAATAAAGAACAGCTGGGTTGGGGCTATAATGGCAGAGAATTGGGAGCAGAAGGGAGTACTTTATATGCTGTGCTTTTTGCCCCTGGCAGCAGTGGCCTTTCAGCCTATGGGGGTGAGGATTTGTCTTCCTGTAAGTCAGTGTAGTGTCTGGCATGGTTTGGATGCAGTTGGAATAGAAATAAATGAAAGATGGACCCCTCCCAGGGCAATAACCAGAGGACACAGCAGGGAGGAGAGGGAATGTGGGTTGCAGAGCCCACGGGACAGACAGAAAGGTAGGAGCTGTAAATGAAATTTCCATGGGTTGGCAACCTTGCTGAGGACCCTTAGAAGGGCAGCAAAAGAGAAAGAGGGAGGAAAGATATGCAGGCCAACTTCCAAGTGCTGTCTCACCAAATGCACTATGGGAAAATGGGTTGATGCTAGGATCCCCTCAGTCTAGGACTGATCACAGGAGGGAGAGGGTGCAAAGAGGGCAGTTGTCCTGCGGCCTAGTGATTCAAAGAGGCCTGGGTCTGCTGGCTCACTCTTGCTACTGTGGCTGTGCCAATGGCTGGAGCCCTGATCTCTTTAAATTGCTGCTAGAGCATCATGTTGCACACTTGGCTGGCACTGGGAGTGGGTGGTGAGGGGGCGGGGTGCTCCAGGCAGTACTGAGGGCTGCCCCTGGCCCTGCCCCCTTGCTATTCAGGCTGTTGGCTTGCTGGCCTTGGTCACACCATCTGGGAGTGGTAAACCGCTTGGCAGCTCCCCCTCCCTCCCCTCGAAAAAATGACAAAAGGTATGAGAAGCCAGGGTCGGTTGGGAGATGATTGTTTTGAGAGAGGAGGTAGGCCTCTGCAGTTTTGCAAAATTTTCTTAAGGTTGCCAGATGGTTTCAACAAAAATACCAGACACACTTGACATTACATCACAATCTACATTCCCATCTTATTTAGAAAATACCGGTCATTTATATTTTCTCATTTATATTGTCTCAATTTGTTTCCTGAACAGAAAGCTCAAATACTGGACTGTCTGGTTCAAAACCGGACATCTGGCAAGCCAATTTCTGAACTTGAGGCTGTGTATCCAAGCCACGCTTAGGCCCTGAACTTTTGGGTTCTCCCCTCCCTGATTTGATATGTGGGTGGTTGTTTTTTAAGTTAAAGTTGACTTTTTTAAGCTAAAATTTCAATCCTGTCATATTTATGTATCCAAGACATTTTTTCCAGATTTTTAATTGTATTATCTAGTCAAGAATGTTCTGGGCCAGGAGTGGAGGAGAATTGGCTAGCTCTGGGAATGGGAGTGTGGATGGGGGAGGAGTGAAGGGGAGTGAATCACAGAAGCTATTTCTCAAAAGGGGCTTGAGAGAGCGCACAGGTCAGCTGAGTAAAATGTGATGTCTTCAGAACTTTGAGCAAAGTGGGTGAATTATAAGGCCCTTTTCCTTGAAGGCAAAAATTACACAATGTTCTTCTCATGTCTTAGAAAAGGTCAACATGATAATACAGTTCTGAGGACCAGTCACACTCCCTTGTGATTTTGAAAAGCGCCAAGTAAAGTTTCGCATGGGAATCCCAAACACAGAAGGCTGAGGGCGAGGTCAGGTTTGTTTTGTTTTGTTTAAGTTTCGCATGGGAATCCCAAACACAGAAGGCTGAGGGCGAGGTGAGGTTTTTTTTTTTTTCCATGGGTATCGATTCTGAGATTTGAGTTTCTTTGTTTTTAAAACCCAGAACCAAATTTTCTTTTCTGATTCCAAATTCACAGCCTTTCCCTTGGAAATTACTGTCAAACTTTATTGGAATCAAACAGAGTCACCATGTCCAAATAATGAAATACAAACAAAAGGGATCTGGTTATAATTCTCAAGTCCTTTTATTTTTTTCAAAGCCTTAAGCCCTAAGCAAACTAAGATTGAATTTTGTTAGCAAAGTCTCTACCTATGGTTATTACTTGCAGAGTCCCAGTATGGTTTCCATGAATTTACTGGTCAGCTTCTATTCCAGACAATCTTGTGAGAACTGTGATATGAAATTATAGTATACACTTGATGATGTGGTTTCAGTTGTAGTGGTCAGAGCATTGTTCATCAAGGATCAAATTACTCTTAGTTTAATGATTTCACTGAATATATACTAGGATTTGACCCCATATTTAAAAAAGAGAGTCCAATTCACTGCTAGTGTAAGTGGGTATGTAACTCCACTGACTATTTTCCACTAGTGAATTTGTCCCTACATACCTAATATGTAAAAGGAGCTACCTGACAAGCTTTAATTTTTGCTTGAGTATCGCTCAAAAAGTGTCTAATTTTGCCCTCTGTTACACAAATGTAAATTTGGAAAAACTCAGTAATTGAAAACAGAATTTGGCCCTGAATCACTCGCTTAACTTTTAGAGCAAAAGGAAAAACTATGTAGCACTTTAAAGACTAACAAGATGGTTTAATAGCTGATGAGCTTTCATGGGCCAGACCCACTTCCTCAGATCATATTCTGGAAGAGAATGGTTAAAGTAATTAGCATCTTTGTTAAGGCTCATTCGTAAAGTGTCAAATTTAAGTATGAAAGAAAGTTCTGAAGTTTCCCACTGTAATCTGGTGTTAAAGTCTCTTTGAAGTAAGATGCATGTAATAAGGTCGTTAAGACTATATCCAGGTAGGTTGAAATGAAAAGCAACTGGTTTTTCCTTGTGAAGATGTCTGATGTCTGATTTGTGGGCAATTAATTCTTTGGCAAAGTATCTGAGAAGTCTGTCCAATATACATAGCAGAGGACACTGTTGGCACATGATGACATAAATAATATTTCTGGATTACAGAGGAAAACTTCAGAATTTTCTTCCATTACAAAGATAGCTTCCCCGCTTATCACTCCAATTAGCCATTCATTGACTCATAAATAGTTATTCCCTCCCTCCCTCTCTCTTCCTCACCCCGCCTTCTGTACTAAATCTGATTTGTCAGTTTAATAATGTGCTCACTTTTTTCATTGTATTCCTTTGGTATATATGGTCGTGCCAATTCTCTTCCAGAATATGATCTGAGGAAGTGTGTCTGGCCCCCGAAAGCTCATCACCTATTAAAGCATCTTGTTAGTCTTTAAAGTGCTACATAGTTTTTCCTTTTGTTTTAGCAAGATCAGACTAACACAGCTACCTCTCTATTACTATTTAACTTTTAGAGGTTATTCTTCAGGCTCTTGAAAAGATTTCAGTTACTTTTAATTTTTTTTCTTCTGTGTTAATTTAAATGTTTTGGTTCTATTAAGATTGTTATCATAACTCAGTTTCAGATTAACCTTCAAACAATTACTTTTTCATAAAGAACTTTAGTTTAAAAACAAATCAGAGCATCTTTTTCTGCTTTAACACTATTTTATTGAAAATCCATTACCCTTTCCTTGCTATATATCCCAACAAGTGCTTTCTGAATATCTCTGACTTTTTTTCTTCCTGCAATAAAATAAGCAAGTATTGAAGTTCAGTGAATCTGATTTATCTGAAGCCAGGTTTACACTAGATCCAGAAGGTCAGGTTAAGGTACACAACTCCAGCTAGAGTTGGCTTACCTTAAGCTGAGCTTGGCGCTGCTGTAGGAAGCAAACACTCTCATCAGCTTCCCTTACTTCTTGTGACTACAAGGAGTATTGGTGCCGGAGCTGGCCTCAGTGTTTGATTTAGTGAGTTTTTACTAGACCTGCTAAATCAAATGCCAGATCAATTTCTGGAGCAGCAAGGAGATGTGGCCTGACACTAAGGAGACTGCATTTAATTTCAAGGATGATTTTTTTAAAAAATATATCTCTACCTCAAATAGGCACTTGGAAGCAGCAGAGAGCTAGAACAGGAAAGGAATGGTCCTATTTCATAATCTATCATGATTCTGTGCACTTACATTTAAAGGGATTTTTGTGTAAACACAATAGAAGATGTTAAAGAAACAATTGCTAGAAAGGACATTTTTAATTAGAAGAGGCATTGTGATCTACTGATGTTAGCACAGGATTAGTAGAGCCCTGTAAATTTGCAGATATCCGCAGGTACCCACATCTCCAGATATGGATGCAGACATCCACAGCTCATTTTGGCAGAAATGGATGCAAGTACAAATTTTGTATCTAGAACCATGCAAACTTGCAGATTTGCATATCCGCTTTATATCTGTGTGTATGCACATCTGTGGGTGTGAATGCCAATTTTGTACCCACTCAGGGCTCTAAGGATTAGCAGCTGGGGCTCCAGAGTTTTAAAATTCTATCTTCAACCCCACTTCTCTCTGACCTTGGGGAGTTTACATATTTTCTCCTGCTTTGGTTTCCTCATGTGTTAAATGGGAATAGCACTCTTCATACAGGAGTTGTGAATTGAAAATGTTTGTAAAGCACATTGAGGATGAAAAGTGCTCTCACATGGCTACATATTATTAATGAACATGTTCTTAAGCCTAATAGTTACCTTCATCTTTGGAATAGGCTAATTTCTCTTAAATAAGCCAGACATTTTATGAAAATGTTTGCCCCCCTTCACCTTCCATTTCTTTTGTGTGTCTGCTTCTGGTTGTGTAATTATTTAAAACAACATTGTCTTTTGTTTTATTGTGAGTGCCGGGCAACCCATGTGCGATGTCACCACAAATTAGAGTCTATGAGTCACGATCACCAATATACAAGGCCAAAAAATGTAATGGAAAAACAATAGAGAAACAGTCTCAATTTTTTCTTTTGTTTTATTTTTGAATAACAATTGTCATGACATTGTGTTAGCCATGCAATGAGAACAGTGTGTACCTCAGTAGCATTATGAAGTTAGTTCCAGTTGTGAAAATAAATAATAAATATTAAAGCAGCTAGAATCTCCGGAGAACCCAGCTGGGACTCACAAAGACTCAGAGGTAGAATGGGAGGGGAGAGAAGGGGGAGGATACAGAAGAACCCAACCACTCGAGAGGTAGAATGGGAGGGGAGAGAAGGGAAGGATATAGAAGAACCCAACCACTCATTCTTCAGATTCTTCAAGCTCAGTACAGACAAACTGCAATAGGAAGACACCAGTGATCAATGATTGCCCAGTGATCCAAAGCAAATTCTCTGCTCGAGAAACTCAAGAAGTTGTCTGCATGCAGAAGATTGCACCATGCTTCTGTCTTACTAGGAAAGTTTGCTCAAGGCAGGTTTTCAATGGAACAGTGCTGAAAACAGCTGAGCCTAATCTACACAGTATTTGCACTGTTGCTAACACCAGTGTAGCTGCACCCCCCATCTGAAAACAGCTGAGCCTAATCTACACAGTATCCACACCGTTGCTAACACCAGTGTAGCTGCACCTCCCAGGCTATGTCTACACTGGCGGGTTCTTGTGCAAGAACATCTTGTGCAAAGGTTCTTGTGCAAGAACACATTCACACTGCCATGTGCTTTTGCGCAAGAGCATCCATGGCAGTGTGGACACTTTCTTGAACAAGAAAGCTCTGATCGCAATTTTAGCCATAGGGCTTACTTGCGCAAGAAATCCCTGCTGCGTGTCCACACTGCCCTCTTGTGCAAGAGGGCTTACACTTGTTAGAAAAGTGTAGTTCTTGCGCAAGAAGCCCTGTCTTCCGACGCTGTACTGTGAATCTTGCGCAAGAGTGGGCGGGCAGTGTGGACGCTCTGCGGGTTCTTGCACAAGAAAGAAGAAAGTGTTTGAAGAAAGCACGTAAAAAAAGAAGCCCCTGCATGGTCACTCAGCAAAGGACACATTTTGCAGGTGAAAACACAAATGGTAAACATTTTAAACATTCTCCAATTTGCTGCTGCCACTTTTGTGCCTCCTTCTTTGACTGTACTGGAGCTCTAGCTGTGTACCTCTCCTGGGGTTCTCATGGGGTGCTGAGCAGCATTATAGCTAAGGACTGCGGTTTCTATAATAAATCCAGTTTGGGTTGTAAGTGCCTCAGGGCTTATCCAAAGAAAGTGCTTTGTAAAGTGCAGTCCTTACACTGCCCTGTAGCTACTTAATCAGCCCAGCCCAATCAGGCAGTTCCTTGCACGGAGCCCTGAACCTCTGCCTGGGCAGGGCTGATAAGCAGCTGTAGGGCTGTGCTGCTGTGCAGCTCGGAGGGAATGCTGCATGTGACCCAAGATTGAGGACAACAAGGTAGAGGATCAAAATAGTTTGATGAAAATATGTCCATACTATGCTGATGTCTTATTGGAAGCAGGCATACAGGGTTTCCCAGAGCATGCATGGAAGAGGGCAGACTAGAACCTGAAAAATCTCTCAATCAGGATTCCTATGGCTGAAAACCCAAAGCCGTGCCTCATCTTTACGATTTGAGATGCTGGAAATTCTAGCTGGTGCAAGAACATGCAGACAAGGATGGGTTCATTGGCCCCAGCTCTGTGGGGACTGCAAACTCCTGGGCCCTATGTACAGTTTGTAGCTTGTCAGTACAGAGGCAGGGTCTTGAGATCAGACTGAAGCTCTCTCTTGTGCATATAGACACACACGAACAAAGTTCAACACCAGGCAGCTGACAGTTCAGGAGGGAATTGGCGTGGCTCTGTTTTCACTGGAACCTGCCACTCAGATGCAGCTCTTCTTTCTCTCTGCTTTTAGTGCAAGCCTCTTCTTGCACACTCAGTGCCCGTCACAGGAGAGCTTGCTTGCACATAAGCAACTGGCCACCCATTTCTGTCCCCCACTCCAGGTCCTATTTCATCCTCTGAGTAGTGGCAGGGACAGGTGCTCCTCACTACAGCTTGGGAGAACATGGAAGCTTTTGAGGTCCTGGGAATCCTGATGATAAAATCCTAGGACTTTAGCCAAAACCCCACTGCTCAGTGCTTTTTCTGCCTCACTCACTGTTTCTCAGACTCCTGCCTCTTCTGTCCTCCTTTGCTTCACTCTGTGGCTCTTCCCCTCCACCCCCCAGTTTCTGGCAGTCCAGGTGACTTGGATCAGGTGTGCAACCGCTTGCTGGTGCTTTCGTTGGTGGCTTGCTCTGTCGAGTCCTGGTAGGAGGTGGATTTCAGGAACCTGGGATAGGAGTCCTTCTCCATCAAAGTGCGAGTTTTTGCCTGTGCAGCATCAAAACAAGAGGAAGTGGCAGCTGTCAGGTTCTTCCGCGTTAGTTCTCTGGTTTCATGGTCGATATTCACCTGTGAGGAAAGACAGGATGCACAAATTACTACATGAAGGGGGGAATGATTTCCCCCCCATAAATAAAATGGGGACATGACTATAAATATTATTTATGTTCTTCTGGGAAATCACAGGATGTGCCTTCCATAAAACAACACTTTGGTGTGTGGGAACCAATGTTCTCATTACGTGAGCAGGGAAAGCACATTAGTATCTCAAAGTGATATTAAATCTTAATTCCATGCCCATACCATAACATGCACAGCTAGAAATAATTCTGACCTCTTTAGGTGCTTCGTTTTGAACAAACTCCTTAAAGATCTTATGGGCTTTGGAGGACAGTTTAGTTTTTGACCGGGCCTTTTTGAACTCCTCACAAGCCAGCCAAAATTCTAGGTTCTCTTCACTGAACTCTGTCTTCAAGAAGGTGTGAAATGTTGCCACCCCATCTGTGAAGGAGAAGGAAAAATAGATTTAGGGATGGAGGAAGAGAAAAAAGCCACTTTCATACAGCTTTGGAGATAAAGAAATTCTGGCAGGCTTTAAAATAGATTTTGCATATTGACTAATTTAGCATTATTACACAGTGTCTCTCTGGGAGTTCAGACCACAACGTAGCAAGATCCACTTCCCCCTGGACAGATTCCACCCTTCTCAGATTGTTTCTTGGCCTCTAGGTTCCAGTAAATCACTTTCCCACAGACAAGCATGGAAAAGACACACAGCGTCTCCAGCATGTTATGCATGACTGACCTTCTGCAATAGGAGTGTATTCCCTGTGGCTTCAGATCAGATTTCTTTAGATTAATTTAGCGAGGGTATTTATATGCCCTCCACCATTGTCTGAGCAAATTTGAGAGTGGTGACTCTACTTCTCCTTCTTGGTGCAGGAAACAAGTCCCAAGCGGTGCAGAAGCACAGATGCTCTATGTTTGAGAGTCTATGAAGTCGCAGCTCTGAATGTACTTGTTAACCAAAATGGATGACAAAGTCCTTAATTCAGCCTATTAGTAGAGAAGGGCCTCTTATCTGTGGAGTCCTTTCTTTCATGCCAATAACATTTTCAGTCCACCTTAGATTTAACATTTGTCTTCTCCAATGCCTTATGTAACAGTCAAACCTCCTAGACACTGTGACCGTGTAGGAAGGAGATACACTTTGGAGATCAGGGGAGCGTTATTCCTGAGTTTCTTACTGGGGCTCAAGTGCATAGCACAGCCAGTACATCTGCAAGTATGGTCTGGATGGCAGGATGGATGTACTTAAATCACACTGAATCAGTATCTCTCCACTAGGGATGTTAACTAATGAGTAATTTACTAGTCGATGGAGTTCCCGGGGTCAGCTCCTTGCCGAGGCGGCGTATCAAAAGGCAGCACCACACAGCTGACAGAGCCCAGGTACAGGCTCCGTGTGGTGCTGCCGCTTTGAAGTACCCCCTCTTCTCCCCCCCCCCCCCCCCCCTGCCTGCCTCTATCTGATAGAGGCAGCAAGGGGGGAGGGGGAAATCGACTAGTCGACTGACTATCCAATAAGCATTTGCTTATCAGATAGTCGACTAGTCCTTAACGTCCTTACTCTCCACTGCTGGGCACGTCCATTCTGGAAGAGAGGCTGTTGGATTTTCCCTCTCTCGGAAAATTCTGCATTGCCTCCTAACCAGTGTTCCCTGTAAGCTCTGCTCTTATGTGGCCACTCAGGAGAGATTCAAATGCTGCCCAACTGATTAGCAGAGTGAGCCGCCCGCCTAGCTATGTTTTTGTTTCTAATGATGGTGCACATCTGCATATGCTTTAGTTCATATAGAAAAAATATTCTGCACATGAGGGAAGAGATTAGAGGGAATGTTGCTCCTAACCCCAAAGCTGCTGAACTATATCAATTTACATGGGTCTCTACCGAATGTGCATTGAGAGGGGGATGAGTAGTACCCATACGCTGCAGGACAATTTGCACTATAGGGTTTTTTCTAGGCAGCTTGACAACATGCTGCATCTCCCTGACACAACATCTGTATGATGTTTATGCCCCGACAGTATGGCATTGCATTGTGATGCAATGTCTCTGTGCAGGCCCGGCCAAAGAGTTTGTGGGCCCCAAGGCAGCACGCTGTGGTTGGCTGAGCCACGCGGCCCCCAGTCAGGGCAGCGAGTGAGTGGGCTTGGCCGGGAGCTGGGCAGCGCAGGGCCCTGAATACATGGCCATGCAGCAGCTCTGATTGGTTTTTGCTTAGCTTGTTCACACAGTTATCCAACCGCTGCACTGTCCTTGTTGCATCAATGCAATGCTCTCAGGAGGGGGAAGGAAAGGGCTCCTAAAGACCGACCTCTCTTTTGTTCTAGTCTGAGAATGGGCAAACATTCCCTGTTACGCTGAACTTATGCAGCTGGTTAGCCCTGGGTCTCCCTGCCCACACAGGGTGTCTCCCCCTCATACTGTCATACAAGGGACTCATACTCACTTTTACTCTTCAGCAGGTGGTCAAAGGACTTGTTCCATTCCAGTGCCTCCTCTGAGGAATTTCTGGAGAGGAAACGCAAAGTATAAACCTTATGGAAACAAACTCTAACAAGTGCTCGATCTGGTCAAATACTCAGGGATAGAAAAGCTCCAGGACAGAAGCTGGCTACCGCATTTAGGGGAAGACAGAGGAATTGGTGAGGATAGCATCGCTCCATAGAAAACTCAAGTAAGAGACCCAGCAATCTCATTATCTCTGGGGTCTTCTCTTTCTTTTCTCTCTTTCTCCCTCTCTTTTACTTTCCCAGATGACTGGCTAGATCTTACCTCCATAGGGTAGCTTATGGACAATAGTTTTTCCATATAAAATGCCAATTCCAGCTGGTATAAGTTCTGGCAAAGAGTTTCCCTTCAGAGAGTGAGTGTCTCCCTGGCTCTAGAGTTGACTAAAGTCCACATACACCCTCTGCCTCCACTCTCCATTTACTGGAGTCCCCCAGACAGCTGGGGAAGTCCACGCTGGTGTCTAGCCTGAAGCTGGGGCACCACACTTTTGTTCCAGATGTCACTCGTTAGGGCCCTATTGTCTAGTCTGGTTTTTCTGACTGTCGAACTGGGTAATGAACATTCCCCTATGTAAATCTGGAGATGGGGCTTAGTGGGTGGAGATCTGCGAGTTCTCCTGATGTATGGTGCTTTCTTCCTCATAGGGAGAGGAGCATGGACTCATTCCCCTATGTAAATCTGGAGATGGGGCTTAGTGGGTGGAGATCTGCGAGTTCTCCTGATGTATGGTGCTTTCTTCCTCATAGGGAGAGGAGCATGGACGTGATCCACTCTCGGTGCAGCTTGGGGGGGGGGGGGGGCGGGGCA